GGAGTAGAACCCAGTACCGTCATCGTTTTATCCACTTAAGTACTGAGTCCTAACATTTTAGTATTGCTAAAATAATATTTATTATACATATAATTTATTCAGTATTATTCTTTTGAGAATTTACTTTTCTCAGTAGAATAATTGAATACTATATTATTTTAATAAACCTGTACATTATCATTGTAAAGTTAAATCAAACTTAAAATATCAAAATAAATCTACCAGATTAATTGCTGAGGACTTTGTACAGTTTAAAAGTACCTAATTTTTTGTTTCTTAAACTACTGTTAATTGACAAACCAACTTAGAATTGATAATTAATTATTTACCTACAGGAGATGAACTTTGAATTACATTTCTCTAAGAAATTTAGAAAACATAATGAGAATTATGAATGGTAACTTTTGAGAACTATTTATAGACTAATACTACATACATATTTTTTTTGTATAATTGTTAAATAACTAAACTATTCATATTCGTGTTCGTCTTATGATAAGCTTTATTTTGACCTATGAACCATTATTATACGATTTACTATTCTTGAGTTATACCCAGTCTATCAATTACTATCGCCCACATTCACAGCCACCTTTGGCTAAATCTTGTACAAATGTTATTTTCTATTTTATGATAAGATATAGTCTGTTTGGTTTGCAGATAAACCCAGTATGTTTAAAATACATGATTCATATCGTGGAGGCTGAGATTAGTGATTTGAACTTAACAGGCAGAGCTAGGCAGGAAGCAGGACCGATAAACACTAGATTGTTTTATACGTCATTGGTCCGGTCGATAAACCACTGTTCTCTAACTGGAAGTATCATTATTTTATATACCAATAGGACACAGGGCACAAGATATAACACAATATGTAAAGTTGTTATCTAAGTCAGAAGTTGATGACAATAATTTGTTAATTATATCAACAACAACAAAATGTGTTAAATTACAAATTAATTAAATCTGAAAATGCAAATCATTAGATTTTTATTCAGTAGGCAGTTGGTATTGCATTTGCCATGATACATGAAAGTTCAGATTTTTATTTTATATTGCGCTATTATTATACATTGATAAACATTTTCTGTCCAATGCTTCCGACCGTTTTTTTTCTTCAATTCCCGTCCGTTACTGATGAAAACTACTTTCAAACAAACTAGTGATGTCAATTATCCAAAAACACTAGTGGAAAAACAAACAGTTACTAATGAAAGACTGATGTTTAAAGTATATTTTAATGAAATTTTTAAAATTTTTGAAATCAGATATACAATTCATCTACCAGTTAATTTTTTTGTTATGTAACTAATTAACTAACCAATATTCTTTATACGATATGTTCTATTCGAAGAGTTAAATGAATATGATTTGCTTTATTTACATTCTATACACATATTTCTTTTCCACGTCAATGAAATATTCTTCTAAACATAATGAATAAAAAACATTGGTGTTGAACTGGATGTTTGTTCATCATTCAGCTAATAATGATCTGATTACTTACTGAGAATCTCTGCTATTTGATTTCGACGTTATCAAATGTGTAACCAAAGGAACTTAACTCAGGAAATAAAACTATCGAATTTATTTAATCTGACAAATTAATCTTTATCAACCGGTGTATCATAAATTGAATGGATGGTTTATAAAATCTTTATCAACCTGTTCACAGCTGTTATTCATCTATCTGACTGTGATTACAACAACAATGAGAGATATCTTGCCTAAATCACAGATGGTCATGTCTGATAAAAAATGAATAATTCATTATATGTTGTATGTATTTATTGTTAAGATTTAAGACTGAATTCGACTGGCCCCCGTTAGTATAAGAATTTTGTAAACAAATGTCTAGAAATCACCTTCGGATTTCGTCCTATGGCGAGTTTGATATACATCTATATCAATGGTGATACAGAAAATAGCTGTTATGGATCACACTACTAGCCACTATATAAACACATAATCAGCTCATAAAAGCAGATATAATAAAGGAACCCATTTAATTATTACATAATCAACAGGGAATGACTAGTTTAAACGATAAATACCAACAACAGTAGATCATGACCCATAATTACTATTTAAAAGTATCATACCAACCGAACAGAAATAATGCCTATTACTACTAATATAGGTATTAGTGTTAGAGGTTATTAGTAACATAGTGAACTGTGAGTGTGCATATCAACACTTGCAAGAAACTTAACTAAGTTTATCAGTCAAAAAAGTACAAAACTTATATCATAACTCACTATCCAAACTATGGCAAGTAACTACACATCCGTTATCTGAGTCTTACGCATTCTCTATATATATATATTTATATCTAGATTTAGTTTGTGTGTAGTAGTGGAAGTACAATATGATTGATCATTAAGCGTGAACAAAACAACCGCAGCCTACTGACTATTATCGATTTCTACTTCGGACACACTGAGTTTGACTGCTTGTAAATTTATTGGATTATCTAATGTTAATCTGGCTCTCTATTCTGAGTCGTTAATCCTGGTTTTGATGTAACGTGTTTAGACTTATTATTGTATTGATGTATTATACGAGAGATTAAATAATTTAAACAATTCGTTATATTAGTTTTTATTAAATGAACATATTCAGGCATGAAATACATTCTTTTCATCATAATAAACTAAATTAATTCAAAAAGTCTACGGAATCCAAATACAACAAATATTTTTTTATCGATTTAGGCGTTGTGGAGATTGTCAAGTTTTTGATTGAGATCATGAACCGATTGATGTTAGACCACCATCGAAAACCTGGACGGCCATTTCGTCCTATTGTGGAACTACTCGGCAAAGCGCATCCACGATCCCACTCACCGGATTCTAACGCGATTCAATACGTGATACAATTACACTCGGAAGGCTCTCAGAATATGATACAATTGGTGAAAGTATTTTTTAATTCTCTAATACGATTACTTACGTCTATTACCTCTCGTGGAGGAGCATAGGCCACCCATCAACATTCCCCATCCAACTCTGTCCTAAACAATACTTTCTAGTCGCTATTCATCAATTTGATGTTTGCTTCCAATTTTTGGAGCAATGTGTTCTTTGGTCATTTTTTTCCGAGTGAATAGTATCTAAACCTTGTTCACATGGGCCAATAGGAATTATAATGAAGCATCTACAAAATAAATCATAACCTTTGAAACTTGTTAATAATTTCTGAATTATTTATCTTATTTCTACATACTTATCTGTAATCATATCTCAACTTCAACACTTAAATTGTAACTAACCCCACTCAACTTGTAACAAATTATTCAATAGGGTATATATATTTTTTATAATCATAATAATAGCACTTATATTGTCAAATATTATTCTGTAATTTATAAACAACAGACAATGAATGATAGTATTAAATCTAATAAATTCATAGTTTATATATATTTGACCTTCGCTATATCACAATAATAAATAAAATTAGATTTCACAAGTTGTCAAGTGTTGTTAGTAATTTAACTATTACTGATATAATCTACCTATGCACATTAATACGTGTATATACCATGTCACAATAGTTATTTTAATAACGTGTTCAACTATTTAATATGACAAAGTCAATAATCAGTGTTATTACATATTTCTACATGATCCATTAGAAATAAAACACTATAAAATATTTGTAAAGATTTGTGTTTTTCCCCGTAGCTCACTGAAATTGATCAGTCACTACTGATTGAAGAGATATAACTAGAGAATAGTACACTTTGGAGATTAGTCTAGGATTTTCAACATAATTTACACATTAGACATAAAACACACTAATTGTATTGTAAAGATAATACTGATTATTGGTAGGATTTAATATGAACTTTTTGTTTTATTTATATTATAACTTGTGGTCTGAGTGCCCTGTTAATGGATAAGTAATGATACCGCCAATTAAAGAGCAGTGACTTATCGATCGAATCAATAACGCGTAAACCCGTATGAGCAGTCTAGCGACCTTATTGATCTCGCTTCCTGTCTAGCCCAGCCAGTTGAGTCCAATACACCAATCTCAGCCTCTGTAATATGAATCATGTATTTGAAACATAATCGGTTTATATATCAATCAAACAGACAACAACGTACCATAAAATAGAAAATAACATTTGTACAACATTTGGCCAAATGTGGCTGTGATTGTGGGAGGTAATGACTAATAGACAGGTCATAATTGAAGAATGGTAAAACGTATAATAATGGTTCATAGGTCAAAATAAAGCTTATAATAAAAGAAACACGAATATGGATAGTTAAGTTATTTAATACTTATACGACAAAAATATACGTTTAGTATTGGTCCATAAATGGATCCCAAAGTTACCATTCATTATGCTTATCGGGACCTAACAATTTATGACTTGTCAGTTCAGTGTACTTATACCATAGATTTGATAGTCACATGAGATGTTAATATAGTACTTATCACCTGAGGCAATAGAGAGTTGTCCACTAGACGACTGCATCACGATAGCCAAACTTTATACACAAGTGATAATGAGAAATTTATTCAGGAGGCCCGCATACACAGTGAACTTATTGAAAATTGATTATAAAGAGTGAGAAAAATGAGAACCCATGCAGTCGATAACTTTACCAAGCTTTTAACAGCTATACTTTTCATTAAATATTAATACAGTTAATAATGAAATATATCAAACATTTAACCCGATGTTGTTCGATATACAAATCGCACCCCATCAATTAAATCTTTCAATTGAATCATTGGAAATTTCTTGTTGAACTATTAGTTCGTCAAAATGCAAATGATATTCAAAAAGAATCAATGGTTTACTCCAGACACACTGATTGTGACTGCTTGTAACTGTATTTGATAAAGTATTATCTAGTGTTTATCTGGTTCTCTATTCTGTGTCGTGAGTCCTGGTTATGCTGTAATGTGTTTAGTCCCATTATCATATTAACTTATTATCGTAGTATACCTGAGTGAGAAAAAAATATTTTAAACCATGTTATATCAGCGTATAGATTTATTTTTAATTATAACAAAATGCATTCTTATCAGTGGTTTATAAGAACATACATAATACATTATATTATGTCATTTAGATGAATTTGTGCAAAGAGGATGTAGGCCACATATATCGTTGTTCAGCATTTTCAATTCAGGTAGTGAAATAACAATCTTACATATATGGTGTGTGCTACTAATGTTGACAGATATAAATAGTATATATCGTCAAGCGAATTAACTGGAGGTAGAAGATCAAAGAAAAGAGAACGAGAACAATGAATGATTGCTGTGAAAATGAAGGAACCGTGAAATCTCAAACGATTGATTGACATTTTGTAAATTAAGTATTTACTGTATGGTGCTTAGATTTTAGATATTCTGTAAGTTTGTGTTCAAATATATTCGATTGTCTCCACTTATGTTTTCATTCAAAACATAGAAAAAATTAATAAAAATTAAAATGTCATTTATTTGTTTAATCATGGATTCTCTTCACACACAAAAAGGTAAGCATGAACTTTTGAGTTTATTTGTAATTGGATTTTGTAAAATAATAGTTCTTATATAATCTGTTTTTAATTATGTTCTTAGTAAATTGATTCAACGTTAATTGAATTCATTCAAACCCAAACTGAAAATTTCTAAAGATATTAACACCGTTAAAAATAATAATAGAAAAAATTTATTTACTTAATGTGTATACACAATTTTACATTAGTGATTTCAGTAATAATATGGTGAGGCGGGGGGGGAATATATAAACGATATAATAATTCATTTCACTAATTGGAAAGTATACAATTATACAAAAGAAAAAGCTAATAATAATAAATAATAAAATTAAGAATTCACGGATAAATAACCGTAAACAAAATAATAATAGGATAATATTCATTAGGTAAACATAAAAAAGTAAATAACGGGAAAATAATAATAATGGTAATCATAATAATAATAATTATTATTTTTATTCAGTCAGTGAATTCAATAAATATCATATAGAATCAGAACCGGTTAATTAATACTGATGATGAGCATTAATATACAATGTTGATAATAGATCAAAAAATAAATAATTAAAAATATGTTTATTTATATATATGTTTGTTTGTAAAAAAAAATAATACGGAAAATAACATTAAGTAGTGATCACATTTTACGTGAAAAAATCAACTCTTCTACACGATATTCACCACTAACAAATTCGAATTTGAAACGTCTTAAATCTTTTCGTGTAATGATTCCACGAACCTGAAAATAAATTAAAAATTAATGAATTTATCAAAGTTTAAGTTTATTTAATTAAAATAACCCATAATGTCATTGAATAAGAAAAAGAATTCAGCGAAGTAAATTTTCTTCGCTGAATTCTCTTTTTCTTATTCAAGTTTATTCACAGATAATAAATTTGAGTTATATCTTAACAAAATTGGTGAAACTATATATAAATAATATATTTGTAATATCCTAATAAGTAGGAAAATTAGATTTCCTGACGTTTCGTGACTGAGTGTAAACCACTTCTTTAGATTCTTATTGTTCCGTTGTACTATTTAAACTTGGATTAATTTTAATTTGGTTACTTATTCTCTCTCAAGAAGTGACTTACACTAAGTTACGAAATGTCAGAAAATCTAATTTTTCTACCCATTGGGATATTGTAAATATATTATTTATTTATAAGAATCTACCCAAAGCTCAATTTATTCGAATTTATCAAATCAAACCTTGGTAATGATACCTACGGTGAGACTATAATTTATGGACAACCTTTCAGAGACGTTTTAGTGATCTTGAGAATGTTCACCTACTAACTAGAACTAAATGAGAGCTATAGACCAATGTGAGGAAATGCAATTATGATTTTCAGTTGATGGTTAGGGATAGGAATTAGATTTGGGGTTTTCACTAAGCACTGACATCAGTTAAAATGCTTAAACGATTTTCTAGTTATGTAAAAACCCACATTATTTGTTAACTAAGATCAAAAGTTTCTATGATCATACAATTGAGAACAATGTACATAATTAGATAGCATTTTCTGAACAGTTGTTGTTAAAAATTACATCGAATAGATTTGGACTTTTCGTGATAGTTTTATTTAGTAACTGTATAGGGTTGTTGTAAGCTGTAGTCTGGTACATGTATAAGAGTTATTGAGTGGATAAAACCGAAATCAGAAGATTACCAAATTATGCACTAGTGATCTTAGCTTCACAGGAAACTATCAGTTTGATTATCTTCGAAATAAGTAAACTTAGTGTTTTGAAAATTCCGGTAACATAATTTAATATAGATTTGATTAGTAACGATCCATTAACTGAGAAAATCAACAGTCAGAACATTTTATGTAGTTAATGTTGGATGGTTTTATCTCATACTACTGATTTTCTTCCGCAGAATTTAGTCACTAAAACATAAAGCACTTTGAACTGATGAGATTTATGTTAGGATAGTTTCCCTTGTTTGATGTGCCGGGATAGAAAGGTGACATTAATTTATTTCAATATTGTTGTATCGATCCAGTATAAACTTACTTCAACATGACACATGTGAACCTTCGTTCAGTGAGATATTTACATTCCCTATATTAATTCAAGTGAACTATATCCATTACGTTTTCCAGTAACTCTATTTATATTCCCCATATGCAGAAATTATTATAGAAATGAGTGCTCTCTGGTCAAATGACGAGGTGATTCTGGAGAGCCAATAAATCTTCATTTTTACAAGTCTTTCGTATTCTTCCTTGCTACTTCAGAATTACAGTGGTTCCAGTTTCCATTTATAAGCAGTAGGACGGCGGAAACAACAGAGACGACATAGACAAAACACGTTTTTATAACCTTGTCAGTCATTTGTCACAAAAATAACCATGCAATAAAATCACATACACATTATTCATGACATTGTCAAACTGTAATTATAAGTACAAATTTGATGTATACGCAAAACAAAACGTTAGTAATATACTTGATTTTGACTATCAACAACCGGTAGATGCCGGAGACCCAGTAAACGGAAAAGATGGTAAACACGAGTCATTGTCATAGTCTAAAATAAGAGAAAATAATGTTTCACGTGGCAAAATTGTAGCAGACATTAGATAATCATTGAACAAGATGACATGATAAGATAAATTCCGTTGAATAAATATAACATTGAAAGACCAGGACGTTCATCATTCATCAACATAAATTACTCAACAGGTTTTGAAGTAGAAAAACATAAGTCATATGGATATTTTATTATTCTGACTGTGAATTATGGTTGTCGAGTATAAAGATATCAATCAGAATAAAAATAGTAATTTTGTTAAAATACCAAGCTAAGAACAGTGTCCAAGGTGTTATTAATTTTTTAAATAGAAAGTAGATAATTTATACGAATATTCGTCAAGATTAGAACGAATAGTTTCACAGATATTGGGCGCCGAGTATAAAGAAGTCATTATATATGTAAATTATATTTGAAATAATCTCAGCGATTGAAATTTAAATAATTCCAACGTTTCGTCCAGCTAACTTGTCTGGACTTCTTCAAGGTAATTATTTCAAATATAATTTACATATAAAAGAAAGTAGATAGTTTCTGTTGGATGCGGACAAAGAATAAATGAATGGTTACTGTTATGAATTATTTATGGACTAATTTTATATGTATATTCATATTCCTTTTATCATAAGCTGTTGTTTGATCTATTGACTATCATATACGATTTACTATTCTTAAGATATTCTCAATTTATTAGTAAGTCTCTCACAATCACAGCCAATTTTTGGCCTGATCATGTATAATTCTTTTTTTTCATGGTATGATGAGGTCTGGTTTGTTTGCAGATAAATCCATGATGTCTGGAATATATGATTCGTATAACGGAGGCTGGTATTGGTGTTCTGGACTAAACCGGCTAAGTTAGGAGAGAAGCTACTCTCTTGGTGGTCCAATTAGAACTCAGAATTGACTCTGAACTGATCGAACTGGCTTATGCGTCATTAGTCGATGTCTGCAATTGCAAATAATTAATCGGGCATAAGGACATAACAGTGTCTGACAAAAAAGTAGTATATTTAGTAGTAGTAGTAGTATATTTACTAAATGAAAGCAAGTCTCTTATGAATTTGATTTATTCAGTCTTAAAATAAAAATCCTGATAATTCAAAACAATCATGTTTAATCAAAAGAACCAATGATAAGTTGAAATACTCACAGGAACCAATATACTGCGGAATTGCTTATAGAGATTTGGAAACAGTTAGCATCTTAACCGTAAAATGACAACTTTAATAACTTATTCTTCAAATACCGTCATAACGCTAACAAAACTAATTAAAAATATTGTCACATAATGTATCAAAATCATATTCCTAATCATTAATTGATTACTTATCTTATCAACTCCCGATATCCGTCACCGAGGTATCCTGAAGTTTACACACAAATTACTTTAAAAGCAACACAATTTGTTATATACTAAACAAAGAGGAAATCCTTGTCGACTAACAAATTGTATTTAAACTTAAAGACATATAAACCACATGGGAATTACGTGAATAATTACGTAGGATTAAAAACTGATTGCTAATTATAAAGTGAGTATGTCACCATCATATTGGATTGACAAAAACTATGCAATTAATGAAATAATATTAGAAATTATACAAAGATGTTAATAATAATCATTCTGCATTACTTATAAGGGGGTTAATAAGGTGGAAAGTCACAAGAAACATAACTATGACCACGGAAGAATACAGTGTCAACTGTTGAAAAACACTCTTACCACATATTAAGTTAGACTACATTTAATTTATTATAATCATTACTCAGAATTTAACTTCTATTCAGATATTGAAATAAAAGACAAGTCAAAAACAGATAAAAAGTCACTGTAACTCTTTTAAGACTAGAAAATCATAAATCGGATTTCTCATCAAAATAGCTTCATTCATCTGTACTTAACAAACAGTTTGCTTATTATGCACGACAACTTTCAATGAATTATAAACCAGATACTCATTATCTATTATTATTATTATTATTCATTACCTCTGACACCACAAATGGGACGAATGAACACCAAGGAATACCTTTTCTTTTACGACTGATAATGACACAATATGGATCCACTACAATTTACAGAGTGATTTGGTGTAAAGTTAAGAAGCGATCACTAGGAAGCGACCTTTAATGTGCCAAAATTGACTTGTCGTGCAGTCTGAAATGTCCGAAATCTCGGTTTGAAAAATCCATTTTCAGTTTACTTTAGTTAAACTTGACTCAAAGTTATTACCTAAAAATGACAATCTTCGAGCACTACAGCTCCGTATACCGTGTTCAAACATACGCCATTCTAAACAATAAAAGGTGGACGTAGATGAGGTCATCAGCCTTATCCACATTTATGATCGAAAATATTAAAGCTCAGAGAACGACAAGTTTATTCCTAATGCAAGCATAAAAGAAAAATCTCCCAAAATATAGGAGAAATAATTATTACCTATACGTGTTTGAAATTCGTCAACATAATTTATCTACATGATCAAATGAAGAAAGCTTTATATCCAATATTTTTAGTGGTTCGCTGACCTGACTCTAATTTAAAGAACGAATGAATATGCCATAAATATAAATCTTCCATCTAATACCGTATATTACACTTAAAACATGTTTGTGAGACGGCAGTAATAACAAGCTAGTTAACGGTTAAGTTGAACAAATTTATTTCAGGCACTCACACCGACAGACATTCAGTTATTTATTTATTTTAACACATAGGTATAGGTACAAGAAGGCACCAAGTACATATGCGCCACACGAATCTCAATTGATTTGTGTGAGAGCTTTGATACTGCCCGGGTGCCCAAACCGAAGCAGGTGGTTTTCTTAGGAGGCCACACCCCGAGCCTTCGACCTGAACGTCTGACCCACAAGGCAGTGGAGCATCCTAAGGAGATGTAGTCCCATGGTAGCCGGTGACCAACGATTGGTTCATACGCCATTTGTTCCTTCAGGATACTGGAGCCCATGGGATCCGGTTAAAGCGCCGGAACTTCGCTTTTCGTCCTCTCATTTTCGTAAACAACAGTAATGCCACGAGAAGGCAGTGAGTAGGACTTCCCTGGCAGAGGCTATATACGCGTGGCCATGTGAGAGCATTTCGAGAGGGAGAGCGGACTCTCCCCACTCTCGGCCGTACCAGGGCATTTGGGGGCGACAGACATTCAGAATGGAAAGCAAAGAGAAGGCAAGTGCGCCAACACAATCTGATAAAGCGTAAAGGTAGGCTGAAGACATGTGATGAATAGGGTAGGCGATACATGAATACGCTCATATAAAAACAGTCAAGGTTAACAAGGTCAAAATGTGACTGAAGAACAAACAAATTGGTTTGTCCGAAGGCTAAAATAACCCATGTAGGAACCTAAATCCATTGTTTATAATGCTCAAGGTTTAATTGACTAGGCTTTTAGCCTACGGATAAAGTTCATTTTGTAGCGAAGTTTATTTGCAATGATAATGTGAATACAGTTAATTAAAATTGTGATCTCACACAAACGAACAAAACATTGTCCATTTTCATAGTGGAACACAACACTTCATCACCTTACAAAAAAACATGTGGACAATTTTAATCAAAATGTTTGCACGAAGATGAGATTTCACAATTACTTTTTTAGAAGAAAAAATATTTACCTCTGGGACACTGTATGGCGCTTCACACATGTATGGCCTTAAGTCTAAGTAGGCGTCCATATCATCACATGACAAATTAGCTAAAACATCCTAGGGAAATGAAAAAGAAAACACAAAAATTCGACGTAGAACATCTGGATTCTGAACAAGCCTCACAGTTTAAATTTTTTTAAAACGTGTATCATTGAAATTTTTGCATTTTTTCCATATTTCTTATTATTTAAAGGATCTAAGGTATTTAAACAATGCTAAAAGAGTTAGGTATTTTGAATTCAGTAGTAAAACAATGGTTAGAGGTTTAAGCTTTTACACACCGGTTCCAAACTTGTTCAACCAACTTCAGTCTAAACAGTCGAGTAGCATCAAGAATGATCAATAAAAATGTACAGTTTGAAACCGAGTGTATATGAAGTTCAATCAGTTACTAACCTAGAAAATTTTATTTCAGCAAGGTTTCAGCTTAACGACTGACTTACTTTAAATCTACATTGGATATTTAAGAAAACTTTATCTAATTGGATCTATGCAGATAGGTAATGTCAGTTCCTACAGAGAAAGTTGGAGGTTCATGAAACAATCATACATTATGCATTACATCAAAAGCAATGGTTAGTGGCTTTCAGTATATTATTTTACTTATGAAATGGTGATGTCTCCTTCATACTACTAAGCCAACAAACAACAATGAATGAAAGTGAGTACATTAGGAGGCATTTATTACTAATATTTTGTGCAGTAATGGTTACGAGAGAGACCGGTTGTCCAATAGGTACATAAGTGTGATGGACTTGCCTAAAATTATGTTCGGCAGCAATTACTTTAACATTAATTATTATCCTACGTTAGAAATGGAACTTATTAGTTTTTAAAAGTGGAGTAGCATTTATTATTTCAAATAAAATAAGGATAGACGTAAATATGGTCTATGGCCCCAAAAGTGCATGAAATCGTACTAATTCCCTGAAGTTTTGGAATACCTAAAAAGCGATAAAAACTGTCTGATTCATACAAGGCAGGCTGAAGATTTTCAAACGAACATTAAGACCGATCGATGTCATTTGTGATCTGAGAATCGGAAAATAATGTGAAACAGCGATCTAACATGTCCTGAATTGTAGTAGTATTTTCTCAGACCTTATTTATTATTTATTTATTTAAACATAAAAACATTGGTACAAAGAGGCACCAAAAATATATGCGCAACACTTCGTCATTCGATTCGTGTGAGGGATGGGATATTATCCAGGTTTCAAAACCGAAAAAGGTAGTTTTCTTAGGGGGCCACACCGGGAGCCTTCGACCTCAAGGTCTGATCCACAAGGCAGTGGAGCAACGTTAAGAGATGCAGACCCATGGTAGCCGGTGACCAATAATTGGTCCATACTCCAGTTGTTCTGTCAGGATTCTGGAGTCCATCTGCACCATTGGAATCAGGGTTTTCCAACTAACTCTCCTAGATGGGTCCTCCTGCTAGGTTTGAAGCGATTACGAGTTCACTTAGTCTGCGAACGGAACAAAGACTTGTGACCAAAGACCAATAAATTAGCTATTCTGTTGCATCCCAGCACTGCTAATGTCTCGGAACTACGTTCCTTCATGAGACTTGTTACCTATTATTCGGCGTTTGTTCCTTCGATGCATGATATTCGTGCTCCATTGAATCGTCTGCTGAAAAAGAACAGCACTTGGGACTGGACCAAAGAGTGTAATGCGGCGGTTTGTAAACTCAAGTCCATAATTAGCTCGGAATTGTCGTTAACTCACTACGATCAATCTATGCCGAACATCATAGCTACAGACGCTTCAGCGTATGGCTTAGGTGCTGTTATTTCACATCAGTTTCCAGACGCGTCAGAAAAGGCTGTCATGCATACATCCCGTACACTAACCCTGGCAGAAAAGAAATACAGTCAGATAGTAAAAGTAGCTCTTGCAATTGTGTTTGCTGTTCGACGTTTCCACAAGTTTCTGTACGGTAGAAGATTTACGCTTCTCACAGGTCACAAGCCTCTGCTAGCAATATTCGGGTCCAAATCTGGCATTACAGCCCATTCTGCAAATCGTCTTCAGCGATGGGTCTCGGTACGCTTGGGGTATGATTACGAGATCCGATACGGACGCACTCAACAGTTCGGTCAGGCAGATGCTTTATGACGACTCATTAATGGTCAATTGGCGGCTGAGGAAAACATGGTAATCGCATCTCTATCAGCGGAAGACCACGTGGAATATTATCTGACAACCGCAATACGAACGTTGCCGGTGTCTGCAACAGACATACGAAACGCTTCCAGGAACGACCCTATGATCAAGATGGCGATGAGCTAAGTCACCAACGGTTGGCTGCCTAAGAAGTTTGATGGTAACATGAAACAGCTGTATCAGCGGCGGGATTAACTGTGCATTGTAAACGACTGCTTGATGTTTGGAGAAAGTAGTTGTGCCGGAGCCTTTTCGCGCAAGTGCTGAAACAGTTTCACATTGGTCATCCGGGGGTTGCACGAATGAAATCCATAGCCAGGATTTATACATACTGGCCCCTAATAGACCAACATATCAAGAGGCAAAGGTGAATGCCAAAACCCCGCCAGTTTCATGGTCACAACCTAATCATCCTTGGTCCAGGATACACGTCGACTTCGCAGGCCCAATTTATGGGACTATGTATTTAGTTGTGGTCGATGCCCTTTCAAAATGGCCAGAAATCAGCCTTGTAATGCCACCCACGACAACTAAAACAATACAGCCCACTGAAATTTTCTCCCGAAATGACATACCAGGTGTGATTGTATCTGACAACGGGTCGTGATTTACATCTAGCTAATCCCAAGCTTTCTGTCAACGGCTAGTCATCAAGCACTTACGCTCGCCACCATACCACCCACGGTCGAATGGGCGGGCGGAAAGGTTTGTGGATACGTTTAAAAGAGCATTGGTTAAGTCAAAAGGGGAGGGAACACCAGCAGACGAGTTACAAAATAGCATACTAAAAGACACAACGAACCGATAGCGTTCAGGATTCTCCCAAGTGGGAAATACGACATGAAGGTGAAAAGAGAGTTTTTGCCGCGAAAACGAAGAAATTCAAATTTTCAAAATAAAATTACAAAATTAGGATCTTTTTCAAGTGAGTTCTGGGGAACTAACGTCCCCAACACCACCATATTCACCAACATGTTAAAGCGCCGGACATTCGCTTTTTGTCCTCTCGATTTCGTAAAGACTCCCCCCCGCACTACAAGAAGTCAGTAAGTAGGACTTCTGTGGCAGTGGTTGTATGCACGTGGCCATGTGAGAGCATTTGAAGCGGGGGAGTTAACTCTACCCACTCTCGGCCGTACCAGGGCATTTGGAGGTTCAGATCTAGTGGAGGGCCACTGGAAAATATGCAGCATTGAACAGTCGTTTTATCCTAGTGTCAAACTCATCAGTTGTGAGGATTCATGACAACACAAACGATCAGTTTTGAAATCTTTACGTCCAACGATATCTATACAACTAATGAATTTCGATCTAACGGTCTATATCTCCAAACGCTGACAGCCTAAAACAATACATCTAACTAATGGATCCAGTTTTAAGATGATTCTCAGAAAAGAAGCTATCTTAAAATTAAACTGATTCCTATGAAGCACATAAAACAACAATCAAACTATCATAAACTAAATCATTTAAAAGTATTAACATACTCTGAGACTTTGATCACCTTCGATAAGCAAAATAGACAATCTCGTTAAGAATAAATTTTTTAAAAAATATAATGACTTACACCTAACTTTGGATAGGATGGATAAGCATCATCATAATCTTTATAGGTCAATGAATTTACGATATTACCATCTTTAGATAAAAATGCCTAAATGTACGAAAGTTGTCGGTCGAAGAAAATTAAATGGATTTAGAAAAAAAAGGTTATATTTTATATTCAGAAAAATATACATTAAGAAATTTACCAAAGTTATGAAACTGTGGCTTATATATTTAAACAATTATCTAAGTAATTTGATATGAAATTCGAAAATTTGCCTTAGTTTTAGTACTAAGAGCTCAAAGTCTACTAAATGAGTCCCTGAATGCACTGGTACGGACGAGGGTGAGGAAAGTCAATTCCCCATCTACAAATACTCTCACATGGCAACAAGTATACAGCCACTCACGGGGAAATCCTACTCACTGACTTCTCGCAGCGGGGATGTTATTTACGAAGTTGAGAGGACAGATACTGAATGTCCGAAGATTTGGCCGTGTTGGTGGATATGGAGAATCCATCTACAGTTGTTGGTTGGAAAACCCTGATTACAAAACAATGGTGCACATTGGCTCCAGGATCCCGACGGAACAAATACAATATCAACCTACTGTCAGTCACCGGTTACCATGAGACTGAATCTCCTAACATTGCTCCACTGTCTTGTGGATTAGACCTTCAGGTCAAAGACTCGAGGTGTAGCCCCCTAAGGAGACCACCTACTTCGGTTTGGTTGCTCGTGTAGTATTTCAGTCCTCACACGAATCAAATGACGAAATGTGATGCACATAAATTTTGGGCCTCCTTGTACCAATGACTATGTGTTTAAATAAATAAATATTACTGAATGAACCTGTCTACCACTACTGAATCTTATTTTCTCAGTTTATCTATCAAAGTTCAACTAATATCACACTTCGTCACTCGATTTCTGTGAAGGCTGGATACTGCCCGGGTTCTCAAACCAAAGTTGGTGGTCCCCTTAAGGGGCTACACCCCGAGTCTTTGACCTGAAGGTCTAATCCACAAGACAGTGGAGCAATGTTAGGAGATTCAGTCTCATGGTAACCGGTGACTGACAGTAGGTTGATATTGTATTTGTTCCGTCGGGATCCTGGAGCCAATGTGCACCATTGTTTTGTAATCAGGGTTTTCCAACCAACAACTGTAGATGGATTCTCCATATCCACCAACACGGCCAAATCTTCGGACATTCAGTATCTGTCCTCTCAACTTCGTAAACAACACCTGGACGACGATAAAGTAGTGAATACAACTTTAAATTACTGACATTTGGATGTACGAAAGTATATTTTAAGAGAAACATTAGCTATAATGACTTAGCAACCCAGAAGGACTGATAGAATTTCTCTTTAGGAAATTACTAGTGTTTTGTACATGATGCTTTAAGAACCCATCTCCTAGTCTCCAAAAAGTCAGTGCACTTCTCCCATTAATCCACCACAAAGGATGTAAACACTTTTCCTTAATCTAATAATGAGAAAACGAGGTCTTCGTCAAGACTTTAAGATCCTATGTAATACTAAATTTAAAGCATTTCTCTTTTGGTGACAAATGTGAACCCTTGGTTTATTAAAGACATTGTCCTATCTATTTGACTAAATTGTTACAAGCTTCAAAAAAACAAACAAACAATTGGCTTCCGCGAATAAAACTTTTGATAGACGGAAAATAAGATGCTTTAGAAAGTTGATATAAGCTGCTGTATAATATTGATTCTGGATTATATTCCACGCCAACTTAAATCGACAACTTGAACGAACAAAAAGAATAATAACCAAGGTAACCTTGATGATAAAAAAAAAGAAAACTACAACAAGATAAGGTAACATACACGTCTTTGCAACAGTAGTGCTAAATGCTCCGAAGAAATCATTCCAACTAAAGTACCATATGAAAATCTTGATGAATCTGTGGAACCCACTACAACTGGAAATCCATGATGTAAATTATTTGTAACCCGTTCAACTAATTCGCTAACACGCATAATAGGATACAAATACACGACCGGATTAGACATCAGATCATAAGCTCTCTTAGTTATAGATAGCGAATGCGGTGTCCACGGAAGTAAAGCCATACTATTCAATCCAATATGTTCATCATAAATCCCCTGTAATAAGTTGAAAGTCAACACAAAAACGACCCGATTAAAACAAGAAAAAATAATACTGAACTACTACTACTACTACTACTACTACAAATAGATCAACTTATAGAATAAAAAGCTTTACAGCTTACTTCGCTTAAACAATCACCCATATATTTAGCAACAGTCAAGGTCATTAGCAAAGGTAATCCAACAATTACGTTTCCTGTTGCCTCCATTAGAATAACTGTTAAACTTAATGTCATTCGAACAATCCCACCTAATTGTGCAGCAGCTCCAATTAGTGCGAATTTACCGGGATCGGAGAAATGAATTGGATCAATAGTGTGCATTAAATGTCCTAAATTAATTATAGAAATGGATAAAAAGAACTACTAGTTTGTACAGTAAAATAATTAATAAAAACTAATTTAATCAGGTTGACTAATTTGATTCGAATTTGACCTTTTATTTTTATAAATGTTCTTAACAAGTATATATGTGATCAGATTGTTTGAAAAGTATTGCGCCAATACATCACATCGTTCTGATAATCTTCATCTCCTTATTACACTACCGAAATTTAACAAAGGGACTAATTGCTTTAAATCTGTTCTTTAGTTAAGCACGGTTGTGTCATCGCTGAAGTGCCGTCACTTGACCTATAAATAAGGTTAAATCCGTTCTCGTGTTAATAGTATGTGCTCGGTCGTATAATCCAAGCGTAAAACAAGAAAATGATCTCATGAGTTGTTCAAAATGCAATGATTAAAGCGTTTTACTGACACAGCGCATTCCCAAAAACGATATAGTTTTAACTTAGAATATTAGAATCTTAGGAACAGTCATAATCATTAGCTTAAATCGATATGGTTTACAATAGTACATCATATATACGTATAACGTTCTCCTATGCTATGGTGTGTTAACTGTTTGCACTGTATGGTTTGTTTCGGAATTTTAAATATACTTTACCTTGCTTATTACTTTCTAGTACAAAATTTTTCCACATGTCAAGGACACGGTGGGATATACTTTATAGGTGATGTACTAGTTGTATCAACTTCATATATAAAGTAAAAATTTATGAAATAACCACTAACCTATGATTCGACCCCAGCCGGCACCAATCAACAAAGATGGTATGAATAGACCAGCAGGAACAGACAAACCATACGTAATGCAGGCCAAGAAATAGTATACGAGCACAAATATGGTTAACACTGAAATACTGTATGTCATTGGAGGATCGTGAAGCAGAGTTCGGAGAGAACGTTCAGGTGTTGAAAATAACAGTGAGGAAATTGAATTAAACTCGTTGTCCGCACACATCATCTTTTTTATACGGAAGATATACAGGGAAAATTAATAAACCTTAATACGTATAAAAATAGGATTTATTCTAGACTTATAAACAAAAGCCAAGCGAAAACATGTAATATTGTGATATGAAATTATTACTAATATATATAATCTTATGTTATAATTATTCAGTGATTAGATTATGTATATCCATATTCTCCTTATTATAAGCTTCATTTTGATCTACAGATTATTATTGTACGATTTACTGTTCTTATGTTATACCCCGTTTATTAATTACTGTCTCCCACGTTCACAGCCACCTTTGGCTATATTTTGTACGAGTGTTGTTTCCTATTTTATGGTGCGTTGCGGTCTGTTTGGTTGATATATAAACCCAGTATGTTTGAAATAAATGATTCGCATAATGGAAGCTGTATTGGTGTTCTGGACTGAACTGGACGGGCTAGGCAGACAAAGGACCAATAGGACGCTAGGCTGATCAGACCGGTCGAACGTCATTGGTTTGGTACAGTACAAAAGTGAATAAGTAAATTACGTGATAAATACCCGGAAGTACAGTCATAACACTCCTGCCACTTGCTTCTCACATAAATAAAAGTCTCTAGTCTAACAGCATGAATGTAAATAATTATTTAGCAAACTAGTGTTGCTTTTTATCTAGTGCTTCGTGTAAAAAAGTACCATTGATACTTTGATAGATTATTGTCCTTGGGTATGAGGATATGGAAGAAACTTTTGAACCAATAGATGGACGGCGTATGCTTAGTAATTTATAGATATCCTGAATATGCAGCATATGTGGACAGAAGGATGTTCCGTAGTTATATCATCATCTGTAAAAGGATGAATAAATTTAATACAGTAAATGTACCCATTATAACAAATTCTGATAAAAATACGGCTGTTTAATTACCTTGTACGATACAATCTGAACCATTTTCATGAAGTAGATTTTAAAAGTAAGAATTAATAAAGTTAATTAACAATAACTACACCTGGTCATTATCATAGATCAATGTCAGGGAAATAAACGTCGATACACAAAGAGTACCTAAAGTATTTTATATCTACCTCTTCTTGCATATTAAAGTGCTCAACCACAGTAGAATCTCTAGAACCACTACAACTGGACAAAACATTGTCATAACCAATATCAACCAATTTGTAACACAACCCAGTATTAGCATAGGTTTTAGTACCATCCGGTTTGATTTGAATTCACAGACTTAAAAAATATTAAACGATTTCCACTTAACCGTCACAAATAGTGAAAAATATATGTAAGAATCAACTTCATATCAATCGAATATCTTTAATAAAACGATAAATTAATGACTGAATCAACGGGAGAAAAACGTACTTTGAGAGGGAAAGAACTGCTAGTATATGCTAATGGACTACAATCACGAACAGCCCACATTATTGAAAAACATAAAGTGGTAGTTAACGAACTGACCAGAATGGCTTCTATAATCTTGTTATATTTTGTTGTAATGTTCCTGAAATAAAGAAAAAGAAATTATTCAATCCCAAATGTTTCCAAACATGCTAACATAATATACACAAAAATGTAATGTCGGATCAAACAACTAATATGAAACATTTTTATGCATTAGTAACGGTTACTACAGTTGAAGGTAGTATTTTGCTAGAAATTTCAATCATATTGCAAAAGTTGGAATTAAGCGACAAAGTCCTACTAGAAAAGGATCATCAGTTGTAACGTTAAACCTATAAATCATTCCCATACTTGGATAACTTTAAGAGAAGTACTAAAATGCTTACATAGTTTTGCTTACTTTTGTCTATATCTTGTTAGGACTGAATTCGCTTTCACAAACAATGCTCCAGATAATCCACCAATTAGACCCATTAGTAAAAACATAAGAATTTCATAGGCATTGTAATCATTTAATGACTGAACCAAGAAGACACAAAACAAATAAAAACAGATAACATTGGTTATATGGAAAGAAAATACTGCAGTATAAATGACACATGAATATGAACAATAATTCGAAGTTCTTAACTAACTACATTAGCTTTGAACCTTTAGAAGCAATGAAAAGTAACATGTGACGGCTTGGATTCTAGACCTGAAATCCAATAGGTAGAACAGTTTTCTGGACAAGATGAAATGATTGATAGTAAACGATAAATCTATACCATAATGGATCACTTTTATTATGACGAGCGAAACAGGTGTTCACTTTCAAAAATATTTCATTAAAAAAGATTTCCATGGAGTGCATTGACCATTAGATTTAAAACTTAGAATTGGTTATTAATTTTTTAGGAAATAAGACAATGAATACAAATGAAAACGTAACAATGATAATATTTCGCTTGATAAGATCAGAAAGTCAGGCAAACCAACAAGTAATGATTTCTATGCGGTATATATCATAAACAAATGTACTTATTAAATAAATCAAGGGATATAACTTACTTCAAATGTACCGAAGCTTACAAGACCACCAGGAGTAAATTCGAACATATGGGTACGAGTCAGTGATTTGAACAAAGCCAAAGTAAACATCGAAACCATTGACGCGAAGAGCTACAAGAGCAAAGTTTTATTGGTACAATGACATTATGAACTTGCAATAAAATTCCTAATTTACCTACATAAACTAGCACGAAATATACATCCTAAAACTTGGAGGGTGTACAGAAAAATCATAATACTCAACACCATTTGATGATTAATTTTTTCTAGGTGACAGATTAAAGTCAGGTATGTCTTTATATGCGACGCTATATGTTTATGTAATGCCACTGAACACATTGCTATAGTATCAAGAGAAGTTATTACCTACTCGAATCTTGAATCCTCAGCTTTACATAAAGCACGAAATGTATCGCACCAATCAACATATAAGATAGTAAATGCGAGCTCTCACGAAAGCTTTTGTCATTTGGAAATTCAGCTTGAAACGTGTTTGTGGTAACTTAACCTGGTAACTACTAACATTTTAAAGTTCACTTTGTAGAATAAACAATGGACTGATTATTTGCAATTTCAAATAAACACCATAAAATCAGACTTGAACACTTCAGTTTGTATCTTTTGTATACTGGAATGATCGACAATTCAAACTGATCAGATGGAAGTACCCACAACTTCAAATGCATCCCGTAGCTAACATAACGGGTAATGCAGGATGAGCATCCTGAAATAACATCAAAATTAAAGCCGGGTCATTCTGCCCTAACTCTCACCAAGTTGGTTATTACTTTAATTCACAAATTAACATGATATTGCTGAATTTACCATATCTTTTGCTTGTTTTTCACAAGCGCTCACGCTCATTTTGTGGACTTTTGTAAGATTACTCTTATTTCTACTCATGTTTGAAGCTTGTTGGAATGAACTTCAGTGGTCTCTTGTTTATTCTGATATGATGAGAGAACTGGGACCACGAACAATCAATTTGCAGTACGTTACATAAGAAATGAGACAACAACTCGTGAGTTTGGATCTTTAGTGTTATCAGTCGACATGAGGTTAGAGAAATGTTTAAAAGTGAAAGGTAGGCGAATTTGAGCGACGAGGAAAACAACTGTTGTTAAATCGTAGTGTTATATCCTAGTGAAGATTCAATTACGAGTAACTTCCGAGAACTATTAATGGACTAATATTATATTATTTATATATATATATATATATATATATATATATATATATATATATATATATATATTATTTATTCGTTTAGTCAGACAGCACACAAACGACTGTCTACTGGGATCCAGTCTAAGAGAGCTAGTTCTGCCCTAGGACTCAATGCTATACCTTCACCGGCGGGGCCACGGGAAGCAGCATCATGGCTTCCAGATACACGATACTTTGACATGGTGAGGTCATATGAATGACACTACTCGGATCCTGTAGACAAGTTTCGGAGACGCAGCACACATCGATGGAGCGAGATTCTTAAGTCCTAGATAAGGAAGCCTGTTGTCCTATTTGGCAGTGTTTAAATGTTGAAAGCTCCTACGTGTAGTTTATAGCGTGGTTTCAAGAGACCAGGAATAACGTTCCGCGTACTCGAATCGTTTGCCCTAGCGTTTCGAGGTGATAAAGGAACGTGAGAAAGGTCAGTCGTGGAGATAAGAGAATTTTTTGGAGGTGTATGAGCGATTTGAACGTGACCGACTAGGCCGGGTAGATAATTAAACAACAAAGTGGACACAGACAATATTTAGAAAATACTTCAAAATCCTCAGAAGACTACATAAAGCTTGGGGACAAATCAACGATAACATTATATTCAGTAGCAAAATGGCGTCAAATCGACTTCGATTCAACCAAAATTATTTAGCAAGGTTTGTTGAGAAAGAAACATTAATACATGAAGCCTTACACATATGGGCGGACCCTAGCTTGAATAGTGTGGATTGAAGTTAGCTTCATGACGGTGACGGTTGATCAATAAGTGAAAATATGTTTTCGACACCTGCTTTGCTTTAACCTCTAGTGACATGGAAATTAAGAAGGCAATCTCGATTGTTTAAATAGTTGTTTTATTTGGATTTGTATCCAGTTATTTTACATTAGCTTGACAACACAAAATCCGATTACTTTTGAACCAACACTGACAAGCTATTTTACTCAAATGTCGTTTGAGTTTTAAGATGAACAGAACATTGATCTGACTTAAGTTGTGACCAGAGGTTTTTTTGTTCATTGGATATTAATAACAACAAAATACAGTAATATGGGCCAACACGTGTCAAATTTCGAACATTCTTGCATCAAATGAATCACACTTTAGATACATACAAACCAACACATAGACGTGACAAGACGTATTACATACAGAGCCATTTTTGAATCTATCTACCTAAAATAATGAAGTGTGATCAGCCCCCAAATGCCCTGGTACGGCCGAGAGTGGGGAGAGTCCGCTCTCACATGGCCACGCGTATACAGCCTCTGCCAGGAAAGTCCTACTCACTGCCTTCACGTGGAGAGGGTGATGTTTACGAAAATGTGAGGACGAAAAGCGAATGTCCGGCGCTTTAACCGGATCCCAAATCAATGGTGCACATGGGCCCCAGTATCCTGAGGGAATAAATGGCGTATGAACCAATCGTTGGTCACCGGCTACCATGGGACTGCATCTGCTTACGATGCTCCACTGCCTTGTGGGTCAGACGTTCAGGTCGAAGGCTCAGGGTGTGGCCCCCTACAACCACCTGCTTCGGTTTGGGCACCCGGGCAGTATCAAAGCTCTCACACATATAAAATGAGATCTGTGTGGCGCATATATATTTGGTGCCTCCTTGTACCAATATGTGTTAAAATAAATAATAAATAAAATAATCTGTCTATCAATAAAAGGACGAATATACTGCGCGGCAGTTCGTTCCGTTCTACTATACGGCTGCGAAACATGGCCAGTAAGAGTAGAAGATACTCGTAAGCTACAAGTATTTGACCACAGATGCCTTAGAAATATTGCTCGCATCTGCTGGGATCACCGGGTAAGTAATAGTGAGGTTAGACGCAGGGTATTAAGGAATGATGGTAAATCAGTTGATGAGGTTATGAAATTTCATCAACTGACATGGTTAGGCCACGTGTTGCGTATGCCTGAACACCGACTACCACGATGTGCAATGCTAACCGGTGTTGGGGATGGTTGGAAGAAAGTTAGGGGTGGCCAAATTCAGCCACACTTCGGTTTCCCACGATCTTCAGTCGACCTGAATGGCAAGTTAACATAGGTCCTCCAACTTTTTACGAGGTTGAAAAAGCTATAGGAAATCTGAAGCGTGGGAGAGCAGCAGGCCCTGACAGGTTTACCCCTGAGATTTTTAAGGATGGCGGTCCAGTATTAGCAGCGAGATTGACTGAGGTCTTAGGTAGAATCTGGGAACTGGACGTAATCCCATCTGACTGGTCTCAATCACTGATTGTACCAGTCTATAAGAAAGGACAAAAGTCCTCCTGTGACAATCACAGAGGAATTAGTTTGACTAATATAGTGTCTAAAATATTAGCTTCAATAATACTTCGACGTCTAACCAAAGCTCGTGACGAGCAGACTAGAGAAAACCAGGCTGGTTTTCGACCTGGACGTGGTTGTATTGATCAAATATTCACATTACGTCAAGTCCTAGAACATAGACACACATTCAGACGTCCCACAATGGTAGTATTTCTCGACCTTAAGGCGGCATTTGACTCTGTTGATCGTGAGGTTCTGTGGCAGTGTTTGTCACTGAAAGGAGTACCAAAGAAGTACATCAACCTTATAAAGGCTCTCTACTCGAACACAACTGGTCGAGTGAGAGCTTATGGTGAACTGTCATCAGAATTGATTACCTCAAGTGGTGTTCGTCAGGGCTGTCCACTCTCTCCATTCTTGTTTAACTTTGTCGTTGACGTCCTTTTAGAGATGACACTTTCCTCATCTAAATTTCCAGGAGTTGAACTTCTACCGGGAGATCCACTTGTTGACTTAGAATATGCCGATGACATAGTTCTATTTGGTGAAGACGCTGACAGAATGCAGAGTCTGCTGACCACTCTAAGCAACAATGCAGGTATGTCCGGCATGCGATTTTCTCCCTCGAAATGCAAAATGTTGCTTCAGGATTGGGTTACATCGACACCCGAACTAGTGATAGGGAGTGAAGTTGTTGAGCGTGTCGACCGCTTCACTTATCTCGGAAGTCTCATCAGCCCTTGTGGTCTGGTGTGTGACGAAATCTCAGCACGGATACAGAAGGCTCGACTAGCTTTTGCCAACTTGCGTCATTTGTGGCGTAGGCGAGATATCCGTCTATCAACCAAAGGACGTGTTTACTGCGCAGCAGGTCGTTCCGTCCTACTTTATGGCAGTGAAACATGGCCAGTAAGAGTAGAGGATATTCGTAGGTTACTAGTATTTGACCATAGGTGTCTTCGAAACATCGCTCGTATATCCTGGGACCACCGAGTAAGTAATGCAGTTGTTATGAAACGGGTACTAAGTAAGGATGGCAAATCAATTGAGGAAGTAGTGAAACTTAATCAGTTGAGATGGCTGGGACATGTGCTGCGCATGCCTGACCACCGATTGCCCCGACGTGCTATGTTTTATGGTGTAGGAGTAGGTTGGAAGAAAGCTAGGGGCGGCCAGACAAAAACATGGCACAAATCCATGAAGTCACTGACAAGTGGACTGAGTCATGTTGGTAGGTGTAGACTACCTGGTTGGGGACATGGCTCAAAATCGTTTGCAATGGCGCAGGTGAATCCACTCTTTGTGTTCTCTCAAACTCTAGTCTTCTGAATTCTTCATGTCCTTTATTTTCTTTCCCAATTTATTCCACTGGACTATACTCCTTTAATAACATCATCAAACCTTAATGTCCCCTATCTCTACTTATACTTTCAGTACCTCTACCACTATGGGATTTGAATCGATAACTGAATCTCTGTGCTAATGTGGTATGGCAACTCGAACTGATGTACGTACGTACGAAGTTCCACGTTGTTACTGACTGACTGAGGGGTGGCCAAACCAAAAAGTGGCATCGGTGCTTGAAGTCACTAATTTCTGGTCTAAGCCATATTGATAGATGCAGACCACTCAGTTGGGGTCCGTTTGACTATCGTAACTAATGGTTGGAGACTCTTGGTGGTGTCGGTGAATACACTCTCTGTCTTCCCTTAAACTAAGAAATTGAAATCGCTTCATATCTTTCTTTCTACGTACTAATTCTTTCTTCCTGTACTATGTCCTTATATGAAATCTTTCTTTTATATATTACCACCCTTGACTTAACTACCTCTATGAATCTGGTGTTCATCTTGCTGTGCTAATGCGGTATGGCGACTTGGACTGATGCATATATGTGCCTGGTCCTACGTCGCAGATGATTGACTGACTGAAAATAATGAACTTTAATATTTCTCTGAAGAATAGTCTAGTGTCACATAAAACGTTGAGACAATTAAAAACATAACCGCTGAGAATATTACAAACATGACTTTAGGTCCAATGATTATCCACAATATCTAACGAAAAACCAACTGATGAACAGACAGTTTGACACAAACAAAACTTGAGGGTAGAAAAACATGATGACAAAAACGAACGATAACTCACTATGGTCCATGTTAATCTTTGATAAACAAAACTAGCGCCTTCTTCAAGGGAAAATAACAGACCACCTACAGGTGCTCCAAAAGCAGCTGCAACCCCAGCAGCCGCACCAGCACTGACAAAATCACGCTTTTCTTGATCATTTCTAAAAATCTTCAAGCAACTCAAGGAAAATTTTAAAAACCGCAAGCGCCCTTGTGATAATCCTGCAGCAATCACCGAGCCAATATGTATCATAGGTCCCTCTTTTCCAACAGCCAAACCTCCAGACACTGCCAAAATAACACCAACACCCTTTACGATCATAGTGAGGCATCGCATTACACGAGGAATATTAAGACCATTAAGATAGCATTTAATTTGCGGGATTCCGCTTCCAGAAGCAACTGGCTACAAGAATATTTGGTCAGAAACTCGACATACAGCTAAAACAACGACTAGTGTAGCTGCTATACCTGTGAGGAAAGAATTGACTGCGCACCACAAAAATCCTGGAACAGAAATCCACAGAGAATGTGGGTAACGACTGATAACTACTCTGGTTAAGGAAAGAAGACAGTTTGTTGAGGTGTCACCTGAGCCTCTGTGTTGACTATCAAAAGGATACGCCATGAAACTAGTTTATACTTATACTTCGAGATGTTTTCAATAGCATAATCAATTACGCAGGCAGAAAGTCCAGTAAACACGCCTATGAAGAATAGTACTGAATGCCTTAGCAAGGCTCCCTTAAAGATGCCGCCCTGAAAATTGTAATTAACTGTAATCTATTTTACATAAGACGCCCTCCGTACTCCTTCGTCAGTGAATATTTTGTTTTGAACAGGATCATAGTCAAAACCCTGAAGCCTAAATGTCTCGTAGGGTGAAACCTACCTCAATGCCTTGGTCCAGTAAGATATCAGGATGTAAGTCATCATTTGTGAAAGACAGCACGTCTGTAGAGCTGCGTCGTGATGTTTGATTTCTGAGAAAGGCTTGCGTATCCTAGAGCCGAAAATACTTCCTTTGCTATTGTAGGTCATATATAATACCTCCACATCGCTAGAAATGCCCAACCGAAAATTGTAAGACAAATTCTGGTTCGCATCATTCATTTCTTGAGCATTCGCACCAGGAGCAACATCACGCCTCGACATTGACAAGAAACCTAATCATAAGGAGCGCTTTCACTTGTCAAGGTTGTCTAAAAGTATGAAGCACACAGTGAAAGCTTTAATTTGGGGCTACAGAGGAAAGTAGTTCCTCGAAATTCAATCCTCTAGGAAACCTTCAATGTCCCTGTTGAATAAGACTTGCCGTGTTGCGATGTAAACAAAAGGTTACAAAACTTTTATTTCAATCTTTTGTGGATGCTACCAGTACTACAAGTACAGTGTAGTAAATAAAATTCCGAGGTCTTTAACTGTCATATAGAGCATAAATTCAAATTACTTCTCAGACAGTCATCATCACCAGGCAAAATTTTTGGCATACCGCAGTTGTTTAAGCTTGCACAAGTTAATAAGTCTTCGTCTCGTTTCGTTACTATGAGTTACATTACCACTGTGAGTGTTCGAAAAATGGTTCAAACGGTCTTGAAAGAAAGAGAAGCCTTCGCTGAACGGGCTTCTTTGCATAGTAACAGTGGATTGTCGATGGGACCACGTGAGGTTCTAGTTATGTTTTACAGGCCAAAGAGAAGTTGTAACGGTAAATAAATCCCAAAAATTAATAGTCCTGTTAGTCTTCGAAATTTGATGCTGACCTTACTAGTCTTAATGAACACGTCTAGCTGAAGGTGCCCGGTAATGCATCCACACCAGATAACGAATGGGTACGTCGTGCTACAGATCTTCTATAGCCAGTAGATAGCACAGATTTAACGCTTTCCGATAAATCGATTGCCTTTCAACTATGTCTTCGAAGCCTTTCATTTCTGACTTTTAGTCTGACTTAAATGGCATACTCAAACTATAAGGGTGTTACTTCTAAAGAAGTTGTCAAACTCCGAATACATGTGGAATTCTCAAAGTGTTAGTAAATAATGATGAAATCCTGTCCTGAATGCTTAAAAACATAACGTTTCCTCGTCAACTGGTTGTGGACGGAATAGAACAAGCTTTCGCTTAACGAGCTTCCGTGCCTAGTAGCAATGGATCACCAATATCTCCAGGCAGGAAGCTAGGCATATTGACGATAAAAGAGGAAAAAGGAATTGGCAATTCATTGTAAGATAATATCCTTAATCCATAAGAATACTTCACGATTTGTCTTAAACGGCTATTTTGAAGTGGTTTTGACTAGCTCAGCCGGCGGTGAATTCCAGCATTTGACAACTCTTAAGGAGTAAACGTTGTGCCTACAATCTGTTCTGCTAAGTTATGTCTTCAATTTCTGGGTGTTACCCCTTAGGTCTGTGTTGGAGCTAAACTGAAGTAGATGTTTAAAGGTATGTCCAGAAGTATTAAAGATGCTGCAAACCACTAAGTCACTTCTAAGACGCCTGCACTCTAGTGGGTAAAGGTTTAGTGATTGGAGGTGCTCTTCATAAGGTTTAGATTTGAGTCCCCGAACTGACTTCGTGGCTCACCGTCGGATACGTTCCAGAGTGACCTTATCCTTTTGAAGTGAGGGAAGAACTACTGTGTTTACGTACTTTTAATGGGGACGAATAAAACTATTCAAGATTAGGTGCAAAGTCTTTCCTCCAAACTGGACGAAAATGCGATACAATGCTACCAGCGCAAGGTTTGCTGGAAGGCATATTTGACGCAGTTAGCATAAGACTTCATATAGTAGTATAGCAACATTCCCAGATCTTTTTCTACTTGAGATACCTTTAGAGGGGAGTTGCCTAAGTTGTATTTGTACTCTGCGACATGTTTCAGATGGGCCACTTTACACTATGAAGTGTTAAAGTTAAGCCCGTTGTCGTCTGCCCAACTTTGAAGTCGAGTCAGATCCTCCTGCAGTGCTTGTATATCCTCTTGGTTGCGTATCTACCTCCAAAGTTTTCCGTCATCAGCAAAAAGTAATAAGTCTGACGATACTCGTTGTGGGAGATCACTTTTATAAATTAAGAAAAGAAGAGGTCCTAGTACTGGGCCCTGGGGGATCCCACTAGGACATTCCATAGCCTGAGAGAAAGCGAAGTTTACCCTAATCTTAAGATGTCGGTTCTTTATTTATGAAATGAGCCGATCAATCCAAGGTGATTTGATACTCAATCGTTCGAGCTTATTGATAAGACATATGTGGTTGACCCCATCAAAAGCTTTTGGGAAGTCAAAGTAAATGACACCAAACTTCCTCTTGCTATCAAGGATGGTTGTCCATCTGTCCATCGCCGTCAGTAGGTTGGCTATACTAGAGTGACCCTTCCCGAAATCATTCTGTTGGGCTGAAAATCAGTTGAAAAATAATAAATATTCGTGTATACTGCAGCATGTCACGGACTCTATAATTTCTGAAGGTATAGAGAGAAGGGCTAGAGAATTCTGGTCTACTATGATATTAGCACTGCTCTAATAATAGACCTAATCCTAAAATTGTAGATTTATCATGATGTAACTGCCTAATCTATAAGATCTTACGTGGAAGTTACATCATCATCTACACCAAATCATTACATTGTGACAATCACCAGTACGTGATAGGGAACAAGCTTAGGCTAGAGATAGAATATATTTATTGTGAATAAAAGATACAAGATAACATTCAGCTGTGATCACGCCTGCAAGACCAAGCCATGCCATACGATCAACTCCAATTTATTCCGTTTCTTATTCCCGCCTTCTCCCTTGTTGGGTATTTTCCAGCGTTAAATGTTGAATGTCTGTTTTCCAGTTTGTCTCGTGTTACGGCTCAATGCCACTACAGGGCCACCTATCGGTAGCACGAAGGTTCGCTGCGTCGACCTCCGTTGACAATTGGTTTGTTATGAGCCAGCTTCCAATTTTCCGGTAGTTTGCCTCGACTTAGCGAGTATGAGAGCATCACGCTAAGCGGTGTTGTCAGGACTGAAGCTGCTTCCCTCAGTATAGGAAAAAGAACAATATTCGGATCAGGAAAAGTGTCTTCTCGTAGGTGCTGCAGTTTTCGGTACACCAAGTAGGCGCTCAGGTTCACTACGGACAGTCCTGTGCACTTGCAGATAAAGCTTTCAGCAATATATTTAATGTGGGTTAGTTTAAATGTCCGAGAGTACTGTTCAGTCAGAAGTTTACCGGCATCACCCTTGTTATTGGTCGGGCCATTAGGCCCAAACAGTTGGGAAACTTCAATTATGGCTTGTCAAAGAGAGACTGCATAACGGAATAAGCATTTTGGTTAGAGGCAGATTTATCGATAAGCTTTATGTGGTACTGAAGCCTGTCCACTCCTATTGCCTTTGTATATATGTTCCTTATATATTTTGTATTGCCTGCATGCGCATTGTTACCAGATAGTTTGTGTTCCGCCCAACAGTTCCTTTTGCGGCTTAGCAAACGAAGAGTGTGGTTCTTGATGACTGTACGTTGCTTGTAGATTTTGGGGACCATTGGAGGAACAGGCTGTTTTGTAGAACATAAGATCATGTGCAATAAGAAATCCTAATGAGCGTCCACATCAAATCGAGGGTGAATTTTCTAATCCACATACTTTAGATCGCCCTGTAAAGCTGACACATTCAGCAGTTTGAAATTTCAGCACCTGTTGTTAGTAGGATGTATTAGCTCAGTTTTACTGGTAAAACTGAAGGCTATGGCGGCATTATCACTTTTCTCCGGGGTGAGCTAGAATTGAGAAGTTGTCGAATAGGAATTCTGTGTTTTTAAATACCCAGTCAAAGCGCGATGGCGTCTGACCGTTTCTCCAACAAGTTGCTGACTTCACATTTTGGAATAATCCCAGATGCTCAATGAGGTTGGAGAACTGAGCTTTACTAGACTTTTCACTTCCAAGATACGTATGTCCTGCGAAAGTGACTTTAGGAAGATTGAAGTTCTCTAGAATCAGGATATCAGAGGATCCGGATGAGTAGATCGGGATAATCCTTGTTCTACTTGATGTCAGCAGTGGGCCGACTGTAAGTGGCTCCGACTAAACACTTCGAGGTAGTAGACAATCTTAGTGACAACCACACGGATTCATCAAGATTGATAGACTCTTGGTTGTGTACTTGTAACTCTAGGTAATATCGTAAGTATAAGGCTACTCCACTAACCGATTTCTGTTTTTCTATCATTGAGAAACAATGACGACAAGGGTGTTACTAGCTTCTGGCCCTTAAACTCAGACATCCAAGTTTTAGATGTTCCTAAAGAATGAGTATTACCAGAATTACTGAGTTCACGTAGCTCATCCATTACATTCGGTGAACTCGCGGCGTTCATGTAGAAGCAGTTTATGATTTCAACTTGAAACGTGTGAGCATCGTCATGTCTAACTATATGTGTTGGATTATGATCTAGTATAATATCAGTACTGCTCTAATAATAGACCTAATCCTAACATTGCACATTTGTCATGATGTAACTGCCTAATCTATAAGATCTTACGTGGAAATCACATCATTGTCTACACTGACTCATCGCATCGAACAATTACCAATATATGATGGAGAACACATTCAGACTGAAGATAGAACGATATATTTAATATGGCCTAAGCGTAAGTAAGTAATGGATAAAAGCTATATAACAATACTAAACAATGACCACGCCTGCGAGGCTGAGCCGTGCCATCCGATCAGTTCGAATTAGTCCGTTCGTTCTCCCCACTTTCCCCATCGTTGGGTTTTTCTCCGCGTCAAGTGTTGAACATCTATTTTCCCAAGTGTCTCGTGTCCAGCTTTGATGATTGTGTAGTTAGAGCCCTGTGCCATTGTGATGTGTGCTACTTATATTGATATAATAAGTAATATATGACGCGAGTTAATACGTAATGTCTGGCAGCAGAAGATGGGTGAAGATCAAGAAAGGAAGAGCGGGAACACAATGGAATTTGTATGAAAACGCATGAACAATGGAATGTGAGACAATGGATTGATGTTTGCAACAGGAACAGTCCAGTTTGATATGATGGGTTGATATTTTGCGAATTAACGATTTACTATATGGTTTTTCTATTTTACCAATTAACTCTGTAATTTTTAGCTAAATATATTCGGTTGTCCTCACCAGTGTTCTGCTTCACTACACCACTACGGGTTCACCAGAG